TGTCTGTCTGTCTGTCTGTCTGTCTGTCTGTCTGTCTGTCTGTATGTATGTATGTATGTATGTATGTATGTATGTATGTATGTATGTATGTATGTATGTATGTATCGTGATATACAATGCTATACTCGCAGTTCGGTCCAATTGAACTCACCTTGTGAACAAGTTTTTAAACTGTAGATGATTGCGCAATTGATAGCTTGTCAGGTTGGTGCTTATTTAGACGGGATACATGTACCTGAGAATTCAACAGATATTAACAACAACAATAATAACAACAAAAACACCGCATCATAATGACAGTCTTCAATCTTCCTCTTTTATTTTTTTTTTCACGTGTATTCTGCCTGTGTTGGAACGATCAGATTGTGGTAATTACCACGGGGTTCGATGACCGAGCGGTGGTAGACGAAGTACTGTAGGAAGTAGCAATCACATACAATTGGACAGGATGCCAGGATTGTTTCGACATCTGAGCAAAAGTCAGCTTCTTCTTGTCGGCTTCGTCTTGAAAAATCAGAATTCCGGAATTATGCTCGTGTTAGCAGTCAACCGATCCGTGGCATTTTTGGAAGATCCACCGTGTAGAATGTCGTTGATAAATCCCAACGATTTGGAGACACGAGTATATGTTCCAAGCAAGACGCCACAATCCTCAAGATCAACGCTCATAACGCCCACGACCATATCGGTCACTAGAAGAGGGCCACCCCCGGTGATGGCACAGTAGTCCTTCGCATTTCCATTGCCGGCGCAAATCACTGAATCGTCCACGGTGGTGTTCGCCGCGGCGTTGGCACACTTCTTGTTCGGGAAAATCTCGACATCGGTGGTTTGAAGGGTATCGCTTAACGTCTCGTTGTTCACTAGCCCCCAGCCTATGGTGGTAGCCAGCGCATCCGACTCATTCTCAGATCCATCTGCGGGAGCCAGACGTGCTGGTCGAATCTTGCATGGTTTCTCGAGTTTGATCAATGCCACATCGCGTGTGGCGGTCATCAAATCGGTCGACAAGTGATACAGTGAATGGCGATAAGCCTCCACAGCACGTATCATTTCGGCCTCTTGCGGGCCTTTATCCAGGCGATACTTTGATCCAATGTAAACGTGCACGTCTGTCATGGAATAGTCCAGACAGTGCCCAGCAGTGAGAACGTACTGAGGTGCGATCAATATGCCACCACAAAATAGCTCGATATCAGGGCCGCGCACAAGACTCGCCACGTACGTGTGCTTGTCAATCTTGTCATTCGACCCGCCGGAGATGCGGTTCTCTTCGTCCGGCGTGAGATCGGGAAAAGACAAACCATTCGCGAGCGTGATAAATGCCGTGATGACCTGGCCAAATTGAATAAGCTTCATTATCGACAGAACGCGAGTGGGAGAGGGGAAGGTACTTGTCCGAGGTGTTGGTAAGCGTGACGTGGCGAAACGGAAAATGAGCTCTGGACTAAATCTACTGTTTGTGCGAATGCCAAGAGAGTATGTTCATTTTCAGAATGATGGGATAATGGACACAGAGGCTTTAATAAAGTTTACTTACCTCCATGGGCACGCTCAAAACAGCCTGTGTTGGGCTGGTTTAATGACCAAAAAGGGAGAAGCAAATTAAACATAGGTGTAGCAGCTTAAAAGTAAAAGCAAAGTAAACTCTTAACATATAAATTACTGAAGTACGTAATAATGATAAATAAAACGAAAGGCTCACCTAGCACTCCAGTTCTATGACGACAGTCGTAACATTACTTTTATGAGCCCTGCTGAGCGTCGCAAACCCTCGACGAACATTCCTGTAGTGACTCTCTACACGGTAGAGGCTGTTGTTGTCGTCCTCAAGTCTTAACTAGCCATTTCGGCTTCTTCTAAATATGAAAAATTCTAAATAGTGGGCGTGTTTAATTGGAGAGTCGTTTCATCTACTTTAGTTGGGCGGTTTTGTCAGTTGAAGTTCACGGAGTATCTATTCATTGAATGTTCAACAAGCAATTACTTTCTCAGAATTGGCACGATGAGCCATTTGACCAGACTTCACGATCTTGAGTAATATCCCTCAACACATCTCCTGCCCCCTCCTTCAGTCGTGGTACTATGTGAGTCGGCCACGGTAATAGTTGAAATCATACACGGCAACTAAAGTTTCAAGTTGTCATGTAGTTTACATTTCTCTTTGGTGACCTATGCCAACTTCTCTAAAAACTATTAATAAAGCCACTTGCGGTCAACAAATGAAAGGTTGATATAAGCCAGTTTAGTCACGTTGGGTGTACATTTCTGGATTACATATAATCAAGATCAGTCACGCGTGTATTACAGTAAAATGCGAACCTAATCATATACCCATTATACTGTGATAGCAGTAATTAGCGATAGGTAATTGTGCAACACATGCAGAGGGGCTTATCCATGTTTAGTCACGCTCGGTGTATATTTCTTGATTACATCTAATCAAATACCCATTGTTCTGGGATAGTACTTCCTCCGTCCGAAAATATAAGGCAGTCCCTGTAATTCTGTTGTCCGGAAATATAAGAATTAAGTGCGTGTATCCATTACTTATTTCAACTGAACCGTACTTAACCTATTAGTAGTCGTGTAACGTACACTTTGCAATACCGAGACTACTCGTCAAAGTACGGATATCGGTTCTGTCTTCCAGGGGAATAAGTTCGATGGCCTCGTTGAGCTGGACGCGGAACTCCGACGTCAACCGCGACT